TATATAGATTATTGCTATTTAGAAATAAAAAAAGTTCTAAACTTATTTTTCTTAAAACATAGAACAGGAAATAAAGAAGTAAAGAAAACAATTATCTCTTCTAGTTACGATCTTTGTACTCAGTTGCTGCTTGACGTAGGTTGCTAAGCTTTTTAAAATTTTGCATGTGGAGAATATGCAGTTGAATAACCAAAAAATCAGAAATTACTATATCATTACCATAGACTTCCTCTACAATTTATCAAGCTTAGTAACTAAGCTGTATTTCAGCCTAAAAAAATATTAAATTTTGAGCAGATTAAAGACATAATCTACCTCCTTGAAATATTGGTTCGAAAGAAAGAGATGGCATCCTAAGAATTTAAAATGAGCTTTTGATTGGTTATTCATGTTATATACAGAAGTAAGCGTATATAAGGGAGCGTTTCCAAAAATGGAAAGAGGTGGGTGGCTGTGTTTGATTTATTATATGAGCAATATCTTAGCAAATTCAAAAGATAACAGACTCTTTATTTTATATTCTAGCTTGTCAGTATCAGTAATTTGAGTTGCTAATTTGTATGAAACTATAGACTATATTCTGTGTTCTTTGGTGCATTATTTACTTAAATAAAAAATTATTTGTGCAATACTACCATTAGTATAAAAAAGTAGAGTTAAGTGTCATCGACAGTGGACAGGAAAAAAAAGATACAGGTAAGTACTTTTGTTCTTGTTTTTCATGTGTATTCTTTATCTATTATTATAAAAGTAACTAAAATGTAAAAATTGGAAACTTTTTAGGTTAATTAAGGTTAGATTAGGTAAAATAAAGAATAATAATAATAAAAATAACATTCATGTGCATTATATAATTCAATAGCATAACGTGAGCTATATGTTTGCCAAGTGATTTACAACTTGTATGGTGCAAATATTAGGTAGATACAGTTCAAAGGGCAATAAGAGAATAAAATTTAAGTGTAAACAGGTGTATACTGTTATAAGTTGAAAGCTGTTTAGGATAAATAAATGTTGTTTCAAGTTACAAACATTTTAAATTTATTTATGATGTTTTAGAGATTACACAAATAAAATTTAAAATTTTTAAGATAAAGAGAATTATTTTTAATCTTAACATGAAGATCACTTTTAACTTGGACTAGTCGAAAAAAATAAGCAATATATTCATGGGAAAATCTTTAGTAGAACTGCTTCATTAGAAATCTGATTTTTTGTGAACAAAAACTTGTAATGTTTACTGAAAGTCTGCTAGATTTGATGGAGATACATGTACTGTGTTAAAAGTTATAGTATTGAAACTGTAATGAGTACTCCATGGTTATGAAGTCGGTTAATTTGACTGAGCCCATAGTGATAAAGCTAAGTAATTAACACTGGAGTACTAGCAAAACTGAAAATGTTGATTTCAGGTCTCAGTTTACATATCAGCAAACTCTTCTTTAGTTGAAATCATTGGCCCTAGCCAGGATCTTAAACAGATTAGAATGGGCAGAAACGTCATATTCACCTCGGGCATGTTTAAGTATATTGGACTTAAACTGTTTATCTTACATTGACATGTTCTTTTACATGTGTGAATAATTTTCTTTTGGTAGAACCAATGTAACTTTTCTGACAGTAGGGACAAGTGAATTTATAAACAACAAAAGAAGATTGAAAAGATGGAATTTGGTCCTTAATTTTAAGAAAAGAACTAAAGGGACAATTAGGTTTAAAAATACCCCTCGGGTGCAGTTACAGGTATATCTTACAAAGAACATTTTTCAGCCAATTCTTAGTAATCAAAGAATATTTACCCATATAGGGTAAACTAATAACCAAAGAATTTTTAGATTCATCAGAAATACAGGATGTAACTACATTTTGGTTATTTAAGTAGCAATGAAGCATTCTATGAATCATTGAGACCAAATTTGGGAGTTTGGGTAGGTTTTAAAGGAGTTTCATGGTTTCCAGTATGCAAGTTAGAACCAAACAAGTGTTCTCCAATAAAGAGCTTGATCTGTTAACCTAAAAGAAAACCACACTTTACTGCCAAAAGGACTCACCTTCCAATAGTAGTTGGCTATGTAGATGCAGAATTTAGGTGGCTTGTCTTGCATAAAATAGTAAATTTTCATGTTTAGGCAGGTACAGCAGCAAGTGCCCTCCAGTGGCACAGCGATATGTCTGCGGACTTACAACGCTAGAAACCGGTTTTCGATACCCGTAATGGGCAGAGCACAGATAGCCCATTGTGTAGCTTTGTGCTCAACTTCAAACAAACAGCAGCAAGTAAGCTTCGTTGAGCCTTCCTTGGCCATTTCTACCAACAGAAATCATGAGAACCATAAGAAAACATCTTTATAGAGGTGAGGAACAGGATCTTGTAGGGTATAACATGTGCAGACACTGCCATGTTATGTGTGGAATTTTGGTTTAGGGGTATGGGTTTTACTCCTTTATAGCATGAATAGACTATGTTGGTGGGCAATCCAGATACCATGTATCACAAGGTGTTCAAATATTTATTCAGGATATAAAAAATGTGAGTATCAGAAAGCTTTGTTTGGGAATCAACCCACCAAATGTGTCTCCTTAACATAGAGATTAGGTGTTGAAAAAAATTCTAATTTTTCACCCTAATTTTTATTTTTGTGCTTTCAACTGTAATTTTTATTTGGCAAATAATACTGAATTAAACTTTGTATCTGTGAAGATAAAGCTTGTCCAAGAATGGAAAAAAATGTGAATCTGTTGTCTTTGTACATGTTTGTTGTTTATTCTAGCTCAAGTAGTTTGAAAAGGGTGAATGTTTAAATTGGTATTGTCCAAAACTGTAAAACTCAACTTTCTGCCTTATTTGTTTGATAATTTCTAAGTTTCTGAAACTAAGTTGTGAATACATTGTCTGAAAGCTACAATTATTTTCTCTCTCACATTGTGTTTCCTATAAAGCTCCCTGGCTTCCTAATTTCAAAGCAGTACTTTCAAACTATTAGTTATGTCAGATGCCTTGCTTGATCAGTCATCTTTAAATGATGTAGATATATCATGTTTTGCATTTTTGTATGTGAATACATTAATTTTATTCATTCCTTTGCATGTTGATGGTAATTTCAGTGTATAAAACTTTTTTCTACTAGAATAGAAGCTCAAAATTCTGCATGTTGACACCTAGCCCATATCAGATAGAGCTCTAGGCCTAGGGGTCCTTGGTAATCAAATTCCAAAACTATCTCTGTTACTAGCTACTCTGACTGATAGCATTGCATCTCATTGTCTATTATATGCATCTCACCCTTTTTCATAGTCATGGGTGACTCGTAATACCTATCGATACCTGGGCTAGTTAATGAACACCCAAGAGTCCCATAGTAACCATTGCAGTTAATCACAGGATGTACAAACTGATCACCACCACCATGTCTTCTTTGTAGCATCTTAGGCTCCTGCATTTAGGAGGTAAAGATTAGAGGTTGGATCTCAGCAGCAGGGGTACCTCTAACTATTTCTCAGACTGTGGTCTTGAAGACAGGTCAAGAATGTGTGCATAACTATTGCCATGGCTGGTGAAAGTTCTTGATCCAGGATAGAGCATCTAGCTAGTTCTCAGAAGTGTCATCAACTCAACCACAGCCTCCTTCTCTCCACTGCAAGTTCTATATCATCTTAGAAAGCATCCTTTCATGATCATAGTTTGAAAACTTTGCAGAAATGGAAAGTCAAGTGGATAGAAAAGTGTTTTCACATTAAACTTTCTAAAAACAAACCTTGATCATCAAAATTTAACTTAATAACTTAGTCTCTGGTATTCAGACGCATTGATGTCCAACAGGAAAGTATCAAGTATCTGCAGTGCATGGCAGATTTAAGAAATTTTAGGCAGAGTTTAAAGTGAATAAGGACAGCAAAGGAAAAGAAGCAAGCACAAGTAAGGAAAAAAATACAACTTCTGAGGTCTTCATTTAAACTGGCTAACTTTTAATTTCTGTATTAACTTAGTTGTGGTTGTTGAAGTAGGATAAAGCACATCCACGTAAAATGAATATAAGAGCAGGAATCCTGTTGACACCACAGTTTCATGACAGACAAAAGTTGACAACATTTTGCATCTAAGTAAAGATGCATTTTTTTACTAGCTACCATAGGTGAACTATAGCAGTTATTTCAAGTGCAACATTTATTCTCTGTTTGATAGCTTTCTGTGTTTACTATATTTAAGAAAAATAAGGGAATTATAATAATTTTATCATATTTACATTTCAGGATGAATTGAAAGAAATTAAACAGAAAGCAACAGTGAAAATAGACATTGGAAATGCGTAAGTATTGATGTTTGTACCTTTAACTTTAATTACCATAATTTAAGACTTATAAAAGTAGTTTGAGAATTGATTTTGCTTACTCTTTGAGTTGTATATCTCAGAGATTTTGTTTTTACGTATGAGGACGTTATTTTTACAGTATATGAATATTCAAAGAATAAGTAAGATTAAGCTTTTCAGCAAAAGTTTTTTTAGTGGTCCATACATAATAAATTATTTAAAATAGCAGTTGCAGAATGAAGTGAGAATGTTTGAGATCCAAGTTGCCAAAAACTTTCAGTAAAAAATGCTAACAAAGGATTCTTTTAACTGTTTTTATACAATAAAGAATTTTACGTTTCTCAGTATAGCAAATTGTAAATGGATATTATTAAAATTTTGTTACTGAGTTTAACACGTAAATGCTTGATCATAATAATACATTTGCATTTTTATCTCTTAAAACAAGTAGATATATAGTTATTTGAGCCATTTTCAATATTACTCCAAAATTATTAGTGAATGATCATTTTATAAATTAACTGTTGTCTGTTGTTCAGACCTTGCTGACATTATATGGTATTATCAATCCTAATTTTAGAGACATATGATAGTGTACCACATAATATTACAAGGTAAGTATTTCACTTAATGCTTTGATTAATTTATTTTTGTTTGAACTAATTTTCCAAGGAACTTTTTGATGAACTTTTATCTATTGTGGAATTCATACAAAGATAAGTTAGGAGGAGCATTAGTTTAGTTGGTTAAAATATAAGCACACAACAACATGGGGAATTCTAAGATTCAATGTATGAGAATTAAATACAGATATACTTAAAAATTATTTTGCACTTCAGATATTTCAATTATTTGGAAGTGTGTTTTTAAACTTTCAATTTACACAGTTTTACATGTTCAAATTAAAATGATTTTTTGTTTCAAATTTAACTTCTTTTTTTAAATGTACAAACTATGGAAGTACAAAGCAGCTTTTAACACCATTACATTTACCTTGAAACAAAATAATGTAGAATGTATACATTTTCAATATTATGTGTAGAATTTCTCAATTCTTGAAATAAAATTATTTTGTAGTATGCATATGGTAGATTTTCACTTCTTGAATCTGGGCTTACATTTTAAACAAATCTTATCAAGTCTGTTGGTACACAGCTGTGACATACCAATAATTTCTTAACAAATTATTTGTTTGTTTAATTAATATTTAGTTACTTAAATTCCATAACTTAATAAAACCCTCTGTTATATTTTACAAATTTCTGTCTGTTGTTGTAATTGTATATTTTTTAACCCTGTTGCAATGAGATTATGTATTTTACACAACCTTGTAACCACCGTGTAGCCTTAGTGATACACATACTATAACTCCTAAAGTACTTAATGTATCTTTATGAAATTTGGCAAGCTTTCAATGAACGTTAAAAGCCTTCTGTAGAAAAAGGTCAAAATTTTCAATCAGGTGTTTTTACTAAAACTTTGTCTGTAGTTATACAAAGTGTGAGTGTTGACTGCTCAATTTGATTCCCATGAGAAAGAAGTATAGAACTGGAGATGATATAGACAGTATTCTGTACAGAAACTTACATAATATAATACATCATTTGATAGATTCAAACTTTGGCTTACTATTGGTTATAAATAATATAGTATAAAGTATCAGAGAGAACTATTAGCAATTTGTGAAAGAGGGGTTGTGACAGGTGGGTGTGGCAAATGGGTCTGATTTTCTAGTGTATGGCTTTGTAAACAAATAACATTGAAGGCTATAAAAATTATGCTTCGCTTGAGTAATATCTATATTATAGTAAGTAATTTACATGAAATTCCATACCTCTCGGAGGGGTGATAAATAAATTTGAGAAGAGGGAAGACCTAGAGAGCGAATGTCACAATTCTCACACTGAAAAAAATTGGGGATTTAAAATAAATTTCCTTATAAAATTAAGAACTTAAAACTTATGTAATATTAAAATTTGTTTTATTAGCTACATTTTGATGGCAAGTGTATTTATGTATTTTGATTATAAAGTAGCTTAATTAAGTTTTCAATGTAACTTTATAAAAAGTTATGACATGTGCACTTTGACATACCCATTGCTAAAGGGTTAAAATCAAACTTATATTCTCCATCAGTTTATTTAGCGGTAAAAGTGTAAGTTGTTCTCTTTCATACATTTACTATATTGAATATTTGGGATCTCTTTGGTTATGGAATTTGTTTTTCAAACACTGTGAAATCATTTCCTCCTTTTTTTTTTCCATTGAAAGCCCAGGGCTTGTCAGTAAAAATATTAAACAAAAATATTTATAATGCACAGGTGAGAATTGTATTTTTTCTTCTATGTTGTCATGATATAAAAGACTGTTTGGTTGAAATATTAGTGATTAATTTATATTTGTTAGTGAATACTTTATCATTTTTAAGTTTTGTTATAATAAGAGTTCAACAGACGATTGTAGAAGGTTTTGTTAATAACTAATTGGTGTCAAGAATATAGAAAGTGGCCAGACGACTATGTAATGAAGCTATAAATAGCTTGAGACAAGCGGGAAGCAGCAGACAGACAACAATAGACAGATAATAGCAAAAGAGAATATAGCTGTGTGAAGTTAAGTACTGTAGATGTGACAGGCCTAACATTTAATATGTTAGAGTGAAACTAACAGTATAAAAAAAGATAAGAATGATAATTTAATTCCGTCAAAGCGTGGTTCTAAAGTAATTGAATCAGCCTGGGTACACTTTGACAAAATGAACACAGGATCTTCAGAAGAACGAAGACCAAACAAATTACAGTAACTTGCTGCACAACTGTAAGTGAATCACACACAGGAAAGTAGTACAATAGTAATATAGAGAAGATAGTTCAACTTGTCAACTGAAATTCTAAAGTAATTGAATAGGCCTAAGTGGAGTTTTGACAAGAAGAAAACTATATATAAAGAGTGTTTATGATATGCCTGTAATCTCTATAGTGTAAAGACTTGTTGTACATATGTTTAACTTGTTTCGAGTATACATTTATTATATTATTTGTAAAACAAGTAAAGTAGTGTGCTGTTTATTCATCATTAG